CAGTTCTCACCCTGGCATTCAGAGCTTCCATCACACTTCTGGTTAATTTACTTGAGGTGGCAGAGGAACTCTGCTGCTGTGGCTGCAGTGGGGGTGCCAGTACCAGTTAGTCACCCTGCACACCTCACCTTGTCCAGCCCAGGAAAGCCCAGGCACTGCTCAGGAGAGGCTGCAAGAGGCAAACCCAGAACTGACAACACACAGTTGGATGTACAAGCCCCTGTACACACGTCCTGGTTGCTCACGTATGCACACGACTATGAACACGAGGAGAAATCTATTCAAGGATTTATTTTTCCCACACCCTGCACCCAACCCTTCCCCAGGGCAGAGAAGTCAGGAGTTCAGAGCTGAGGCAGTCAGATTTAAAGGTGGAGCTGCTCCGTAGTGCCAGGTTTGCTCTGCTCCCTCTGCTGAGAAGTGCTGAGTCTGAGGTGGGTCAGGTTCAGAAGCTGGTCAGTTCTGGATCCTTCTGACAGTCTGGATGCCAAGTCTTGGAATCCTAATGAAGAAGGTATTAATTAAAGAAGGCCAAAGTGACCTTCCCCATTTTGATGAAGGCTGGTGAGCTGAACAGGCCCTTGCCCAGGACCCAGTTCCATGGGCTGTCTGCCTGTGCACACTGGTTTACACAGCAGTGGGAGGACAATGTTCCCCTGTGGAGAACATCTTCCAGGAATTTCCATTTCCTCAGCCACCGATGATCCTTACACACTTCAGAGAGCCAGGACTGCCACTCCCATCTGTGCAACTCCCAGCTCTCCAGGGACTCCTGTCAGGCTGCTCTTACCAGAGGAGGGTGGTGAGGAGGCTTCTTTTCCAGTGAAGCTCGTAAATCCAGGCTGCCCTGCGTGGGGTTGCTGGAAGGGATGGTATTTTCCCAGCCAGCCAGGCAATGCTGTGAAAAGAAATGGGAGTGCTGCACTGGAGTGCTTCTAATCTGTTTCTTATTTTTTACATTTTTAACCCTTTTTTAATCTATTGTGGCCTGTTAGTTCTCAAGAATAACTTCTGCACAGGGAGGTTTTAGCAGGTAATTGATTGATTTTGAGGAGTTTTATATGACTAATAGGAAAGAAAATAAATCTCTAACGAAGCATGTCTGTCCCCTTTTCCTCCTTTCACTGGCTAATTACTTCAAAACTGATCTCCTGCTTTGTGGACTCAAGCACCCGACCTCTCTGAATCTGTCTCAACTGACTCATCCAGTTCCCCAAACCTCAAAACCAGGCTTCTTCCTACAGCCTCCCTGGAAATCTCCAGGCTGTGGCTAGGTCTGACTAGTAACACAGCCTGCAGCTTTGCCTGGGGTACAGGATCAACTCTACAAAAACAGTTTTAAATCCATCCTTACTACTACTGGTTTCACCTGCCCTTTCTACCTGTGGATACCTCACAGAAGCTGATCTTTTAGACTGTGGAGAGAATCACTGGTACTCTTGGCTATGCTTCATTGTGTTGAAAAGCTAATGCCTGAAGTCAGCTGAATCATGCCCCAGAAGTATACAGCTCCATATGGCACATCCTTTTCCTCAGTGTAAAGCATTTGGAGATACATCATAGAATCACAGAACAGAATCACAGAACAGAATCATTCAGGTTGGAAAAGACCTCTAGGATCATCCAGTCCAATCACTGACCCAACTCTCCCATGGCCACTAAACCACGTCCCCAGGTGCCACGTCCACATGTTTTGTGAACCCCTCCAGTGATGGGGACTCCAGCACCTCCCTGGGCAGCCTGGGCCAATCCCTCACCACTCTGCCTAATACCAAATCAAAATTTCCCCTGGGGCAACTTCAGCCCATTTCCTCTTGTCCTATTGCTGGTTACTTGGGCAAAGAGACCAACCCCCACCTGGCTCCAGGCTCCTGTCAGGAGCTGTAGGGAGCCAGAAGGTCTCCCCTGAGCCTCCTCTTCTCCAGACTAAACACCCCCAAGTCCCTCAGCTGCTCCTCACCAGCCATGTTCCCCAGACCCCTCCCCAGCTCTGCTGCCCTTCTCTGGACCCACTCCAGCCCCTCAGTGTCCTTCTTACCCTGTGGTGCCCAAAACTGACCCCAGTGCTCAAGCTGTGGCCTCCCCAGTGCTGAGTCCAGGGGCACAATCACTGCCCTGCTCTTGCTGGACACACTGTGTTTGATCCAGGCCAGGCTGCTGGTGGCCTTCTTGGCAACCTGCACACATTCACACAGCTGGCCACCAGCACCCCCAGGGCCTTTTCTGCCAGGCACTTTCCAGCTGCCCTTCTCCCACTCTGGAGTGTTGTCTGGGTTGTGAGCTGCTGCATGTTGTACACGTGCTTCACACCAGTTACCCAAAGGTATGAACTCAGCAAGAAAAACCATTGGTGTGTGCTTCTACCTCACAACACAGACCAGAGATTTCAGTGGAAATGGTGCCAGGGGTTGAATCTCAGATTCTCTTTCCTTCTGGTGCTGTACAACTAGGCTGTGCCAACAGTACCAGTGAGAAGACAGCAGAGAACTTACCGAAGGCAGCGCCAGGTTGTCTGTCTGTTCAAGGCTCTTCCTACGATGGGCTTTGTATTTGTAGGCAGGCAGAAGGGCAGAGCTGGGAAAGCTGACCCTGCAGCCACAGAAAGAAGGTCACTGCCTGTGCCTCTGAGGAGCCAGAGGACGTGTGCACTCCTTCCACTCCCCCAGTTCTCATCCCAAAGTGAGCCAAGGAAAACAGTTTTGGATTAGGGCATTAATTAACCAGCACACTCAGATTTTAGGCCAAGGGAAGGTAAAGTGTGTTTCTCCCGAACTTCAGCATTGTCTCTGCTTATGGAAGAGATCAGCAGGGGGTTTTTAAGCAAGAGATCCATCTCTGCGTTGGGAACAGCAACCTTCTACAGAGCTACTTTGATGCTGTTCTCTCCCTCACACGATCAGCCTTCTCCTCCTTACTGTGTCTTTGAGTTCTGCACGTTACAAAGCAGTTCTTTTCTTCCCCACCTGACACAGGCTGGCTCCTCCAGTGTCCCAGGGGGCCGCTGAGCACGCGGGACCTTGCAGATGGGGCAGGCAGCTTCTGACTCCACGGGGACGGGGAAGAGGCGGCGGTTTAGTCGGTAGCAGTAAACACCTGCCAGAGAGCAACAAACCCTCGTGGTACCTCCAGTCTGCCAGCAGGTTCCTCCACCCACTCACCCAGACTGTGCCCTACCACACGTGCATTCTATAGGAAGAGCTGCTCCCCCTGAAAGAGCTCTTGTGCTTCCCACCTCCAAATAAGTTCCTAAAAAGCAAACCCAAAACTGCAACCCACTCAACTTAAGAAGAACATTAGCCAGTTAAAAGAAACCTTCACAAAACAGGATGACACTGATTGAGAGAGGATCCCTAGAAGACTCAAGTGTCATTGAAGTAGGAAGCTGAATCTGGTTTAGAAGCTGCAGCTAAAAGTAACACCTTCTCCCTTGTCTGAGGGTGTCAGAGCCACAGGCAACGACTGCTCTGTTACCTGCCCACAGAAATGGGACTAGGAAGAAATCTGCTCTTACACTTATGGGAACTGGTTATCAAATCTGGTTCTTCTTCAGGCACTGTGTAATCCAGAGCCTTGGGCCTAAAGAAACACACAGACAAATCAGTCAGTGACAGGGGCCATGCCCTACAAACAATCCCCACCGCTCCCCAGCATACACTCCTGACAGGGAGGCAAATAAATGCCTCCAAAGCCACCCTTGAAACCTCTGCTCCACTCAGACTGTGCTTCTCAGGACTCTGAAGGGACACGCTGCTGCTTCAGCCCTTCCCTGTGCCCACTCACCCCAGGTCCTGGCCATGGACACACGCCTCTTTGTTGGCCTGGCGGAACTCCTGCAGCTCAGCAAAGTACTGCTCTGACTTCTCTGCTACTGAGGAGTTTGTATCTAGGAGCCCTGAGGACACCAAGGAAAGAGAAAAGTTCAAGGAATTACCAAATTTGGGGAAGCACAAAATCAAGTCTCCCACAAAATGGTCAAAACCACCAAAGTTCTGAGGCACCAAAACAGAGACTGGGAAGAGCATGGCACCATGTCAAGCCACAGACCTACCCCGTGGCTGGACTCCCTTCCTGCACTCCCTCATTTCAGCTCCCTGGTGTCCCCTCCCACCCCACTCAGCTTTGACATTTTCCTCCTGGATTCCCATCCCACCAGCACTTGGCTGCTCCAGGGAAGCACAGGTCACCTCTGGACTGGACAGGGAATGGCTTCTGACAAACTGCAGCTCTGCTGAGACCTGCTCTGTGGGCTCTAGCTCTGCAGTGCTGTCACACCTCAGCCTGAAGGGGTCATAGACTAACTCCATAGACACTGAGGGGCTGGAGCGAGTTCAGAGAAGGGCACCAAGTGTGGAAGTGTCTGGAGCACAAGTCTTGTGAGGAGCAGCTGAGGGACCTGGGGGTGTTAAGCCTGGAGAAAGAAGGCTCAGGGGAGACCTTCTGGCTCCTGACAAATCCCTGACAGGAGGCTGGAGCCAGGTGAGGGCTGGCCTCTTCCCCAAAGGAACAAGTGTTAGCACAAGAGGAAATGGCTTCAAGTTGTGCCAGGGAATGTTTAGGTTGGACATTAAGATAAGTTTCTTCACTGAAAGGGTTGTCAGGGCCTACACCAGGCTGCCCAGGGCAGTGGTTGAATCATTATCTCTGCACATGTTTAAAAGTCACATAGATGTGGTGCTGAGGGATGTGGTTTAGGGGTGGACTTGGCAGAGTTCAGGTAATAGTTGGACTCCTTGACCCCAAAGGTCTTTTCTCACCTAAATGATTCTATGCTATTTTACCACATCATGCTGAGAGCTTCGGATTTTAGGATATTTTACCACATCATGCTGAGAGCTTCACTTCAGGTTTGGGATTCACCTGCAATCCAGTCATAGCCCAGGAGAGGCCGTGGGGACCAGCTGCCCGTGGGTGTGGCACAGGCTCCAGGGTCAGGCTGGAAGGTGACATGGCCAGCTCTCTTCTGGGAAGAAAACAGTTAAAGACTCATAAATACATCCAGCAGGACATTCAAAGGTACAGCTTAGGAGACAACTGGCAGCTTTTCAGATGGGACAGCTGGGAGTTTGAGGCTGGATTCTATCTATGCCTCCACCAGTAATTTCCTCACCAGCCCTTTTTCTTCTGAACTCATAAAACAGGAGGAGGAGGCAGGGGACTGATCAGGCTAAAGCAGTATTTATCAGGGCTTTAAACAAAATTCTGGCTCCCCGGGGTGACACATTCCCACACAGCAGGCCACTCACACTGCCTGGGAGGGTGAGCACAGCAGTGAGCTGCCCCTCATGGCTACAGGAACCAGCTGAGGAGCAGCAGCTCCAGCTCTGCCCCCCAGCACCCGAGTCACAGGTACAGCCACGTCCTGCAGTCTTCTGCTCTTCAGCTCAAGGCTGAAGGAAAGCAGGGGCTGAACCAACAGCTCCAGGCTGCTCAGCTGGGGGCAGTTCTGGCCCCACGTATCAGGTCTGGCTGAGCTGGTTTTCCCATAGCAGCCTCCTGGAGCAGAGCTTCTGTGTCAGGAGTCAGGAGGGTGTTGGGAACACCCATGTTGTGACTGCCCTGAGCAGTGCTGGCACAGCACCAAGGCTCTTTCTAACATTCCCCCCACAATGGGACGGGGGAGGGCAGGAGCTCTGGGGACACAAGCAGGACAGCTGACCTGGACTGACCAAAGGGATATTCCAGACCAGATGACACCAGCTCAGCTATAGAGCTGGTACAAAGGAGGAGCAGGGTAGGGGGGGGCTACTCCTCAGGCCTCTGGAGCAACTGCTGTGCATTTTGGAGCCCTGCTGCCCAGGGAAGGCCAGACATTGCCTGGGGATGGGAAGGAAAGGATAAATCTTTGGGGTTTTTTCTCTTTGCTTCCACACACAGCACTGCTTGCCTCTGCTTTCCATTAAACTGCCTTTGTTTTTACCCACAAGGGGTTTTGTCTTTGCCTTATTTTCCTTTCCCCTTTTGCTCTGTGGAGGGCGGAGATGAAAGGGGGAGGGTGACAGGGGCTCAGCCAGGGCTAACCCACCACACCCCAGCTTCCAGCTGACACAGTGGGAGCAGGGTAAGTAATGTTCTCCTGACCCTTCCTTCCCATCCCTCCACTGACTTATGAAGATAAGCAAAGCATTGGTTTTACCATTTACCTTCAACTCTTTGGACCGAGATGTCAGCAAGATTGATTTAGGGACTTTGGGTTCCCCAGCCACCACATGCTGCTTGCTGGACTCTTCACTTTGCATTCTGCTCAGTGCTGGGTCCACATGACCCTCAAGCTGCTTTTTCTCATGGAAACCATGTAGTGGAGCAGACTGTTTTCTGTCCTCTTTGTGCCCCAGAAGAAAGGGTTCTCTCTCTGGGCTTCCTTGAGCACGGCCATCCCTATCCACTCCAGAGGTTCCTCTGCCACACGTAATGATTGTGGACACTGGCAAAACATTCTTCTCTTGCCCAGGAAAGCTGGAATCCAAACCAGGTGCTTCCTGCATCTTCTCTGGTTGTTGCTGTAGTCCCCTGTCATCGCTGCTGTCTTTAAGAGCTGAATGGAGGTCTGCTCTGGCAGTGTAAGCTCTGGGTTTCACAGACACCAACACTGCAGGGTCAGCTGTGGACTTCACAGCATCGACCTGATTTTCCTTCTGTAAGGAGAGAGACTCTCAAACCACACAGCACCGTTCAGATTACAAATGCCTTTCACTAGGACATGTCACACAGTAAGAGAACATCCACCCTGCATTCTAGTCTGCTCAGCCCTTTAAATTCCTGTGGGGAAAACAGCAAAGCCTCTGTGTTATTCATGAGACATTCCTACGTGTTTGGAGAAGGTAACTTCCAACTCAATGCAGCTGTTTCCCAGCTGAGGAACCACCAAACTTTCAGCCTTTGTGCTTATAACATAAAGCTATTATCTTCCACAGTGCTCATGCCTACTTTAGATTAAGAAACCTATGTTTCTTAGGCAGGAACTGATCTCTGAACCCTCTACAAGGAGAACATATTTGAGACCACAGGATAAAAAAAACGTCTAGCTACTTTTCTCACATTCTCCCTGTTCCACATGCCAATTTCTACGAGCTCCTCCACAGCCACGTCTCCTTTGCCACAGGCAGAGCTGCTGTCTGTCCTACAAGGCCCGTTGGGTCCCCAGCACTTGTAGCACAGACCCAAGACATACCCCACTCTTGGGCAAGGGGACGGATCTTTCAGGAGCAGTTCTGTTGTGCAGAGATGCTGGACAGAGTGGCTTGCTGGGAAGTCTTTTTCTGATCTCCTCCTGCTTCGTTCTGAGCCTCTGCAGAAGATCCCTGTTGGCCTGACGCAGCCTCTTCAGCTGCTCTAACTCCATCCTGTGAAAACGTTTCCCTGGGAAACCAGAGGAAGGGTCAACTACAAAAACAGAAGCATTCAGTGAAGAAGCAGACTCAGCAGAAACCACTTTGAGGGGACTTTTCATAAAGCCCACTCAGCTGCTGGGACATTGGGAGTGCTGATCACTGCTCCTGAGAGACCAGCTGCTCCCAAAGCCCTTTATGCCCAGAACTAGCACTGCCTGCTTTCCTCCCAGATGTACTGTCAGCTCTCTGGCACCCAGGAACAGGCAGCTGACTGAACACAGACATTCTGACAGAGGACACAGCAAACATGAAAAAAGTCACATCAAAAAGCCAAACAAGAGAGATTAGACACGGAGGCTGATATTTAGGACAACCTTATGCAATTCTGCTTCTTTTTAAGCATCAAAATTTATATTGTGATAATACATAAATTCACAACATGAATAATAAATATATATGTATTTAATACAGCCAAAAAAAAAATACTAGGTCATGCTGTCCTCCCTGTCCCCCAGGCAGGAAGACTCCAAAAGGCTCAGTTATGACCCATGATTAGGGCTCAGACAATTCCAATCCCCCACGTTAATCACTGAGGGTCACTGCCCCTTTTTTTTGAAGAGGGTAGGAAGGAATTAACAAATAGATAAACAAATACACAAATAAAGCTTAGTTTGACTAAAAGGCTGTCACACTGTTCAGTGTGTTTACAACATCACGTGCTCCTCTAAATCTGCAAAAAGGGTTTTTTAAAAATAACCCAAAGCAAACCCAAACCTGCACCCTGCTTTTGGCTAGTGATCAGTTTTGTTCCCAAGGAAACTACGTGCTCCTCTTGGCCCTTCTGCTCCGAAGGATCCCTCATTTGTTTTTCTGTCTGCTACCTTGGCAACTGGACAGGAGGAATCACATGTGTGTGCTGTGCTACTGCACTGGGAAGAGAGCAGCACTAGAACCAAGAAACTACAGCATTAGCTTTCAGGCACAAGAAATAAAGGAGAGGCACGTGGCTGGGCATGAAACAGAAATTCCAGCCCTGAGGTACTAAACCTGAGATCGTCTGAACAAAACCGAAGTTCTCACGGTTTTGCCAGGACCAGGCTAACAGTATCCTCTCACTGCTCACCGAAAATACTCCAAAAATAACATCAGTCAAGGGACTTTCTGGGAGGGTTTTACCAGAGATCCGCTCCCAGCCTAACCGCC